GGCCTCCACACCCGCGGCGGGACGGAGACCCTTGTAAAGGCTGGTCACGTGACCTCCCAGATTCTGGGAGGTAAATCAAATTATACTGAGAGGGGGGTGGTTGAGGAGCGGGTTTGTAAATTTCTCATATTTGGGGAATATGAGAAATTTACAGACTCGCTCCTCAACCACCCTTCCCTCAGTATAATTTGATCTACCTCCCAGAATCTGGGAGGTCACGTGACCAGCCTTTACAAGGGTCTCCGCCCCGTCGCGGGTGTGAAGGCCCTTGCTTGCGAGGTTGCACTGTCTCGCTCCTTCCTAGCATCGTCACGCCATCGTATCTACGGCTTGATAGCGCATGCGCATTTGCGCTAAAGAAAAAATCGGGTGTTCCAGGGAAAAGATCCTTTACACAGCATGAGAAGCGCGTGTTATAAAATTTACAATAACGACAACAATTCCTCGAATTTTTTGTAAACTTGGCAAAACTTGGCAAAAGGCCTAAAAAATATTTAAATAAGACAACTGAGATTACCTAAATAACCTTCAAAGCACAGACTAAGTACGATAAGTTTACTGTATGACTGACTGAATGAATGAATGACTGACTGAATGACTGACCGTTTCGTTTGAATTTCCCCCCAGTCATCACAATACACTAAAAACGCACACCTCGGTCCACTGATCTATATAGATCGTGATTGACAACTGGGTACGAGTCAGAAAGTGTACTGCATCATATAAAGGGAATTTCCCTTTATGAATACGTCATATCATGTTTATAAGGCTTGGATGTATTCATAATCAATCAACGAGATTGAGCATCAGAGCATGACGATGTATGCCGATGTAAAGTGTATACTCCGCGATAAATATCCTTGCTTGGGAGACGTTGCGAAGGCCTTTAACCAAATCGTTTTTTTATTCATTTTCAAGAATGAACCTTTTATTTTTGTATTAATTGTATATCTATATATTAGGCAACTAAAGTCACGAAGCTATTGTCAATGGAGACTGCGTGGTATTTGTGGCCTTTCACGTGAGAAACCTCGTGACTTATGCCTTTCTTTTTTATTTTACCAATTTTAATAACAATTTTACCCTTTGAATTTACTTAAAACTGTGTTACTGCTACACTATGACCATACTGTTAATGTGATATATAACAAGCAAGATTTCTGTTTTTTGCCGTGTGTAATGCTCCGGTCAAACGAGAACAAGAGTTGCATGAGAGTTTGTTGGGAACTGACCAAACAGATAAGATATATCGTACTAGGATACCAAAAGGTAGCGAAGTGCTGCCGATGATCTCCTCAAAGGGAAATAATATGCCTTAATATAGTCATATAGAAGTGTTACGTCACACAGTTTTGCATCTAAATAGTAGGTAAATATTTTCCTACGTGGTTTCTCAAATTGCATTGTTATTGTTACTGGTATTTGAAAGGCCATAATTCATAAACATTTCGCTGTGTAAAATCATAGACAATCAAACGAGACAATCAAACAGGCTAAATCGCCAATGTTGCTGACGCGACATCCGTGATATGGCCTGATACTACACCAAAATGCAACACGAGGACGCTTCAAATTCAAATCGCATATAAATATACAACAGACACAAATAATTGTAAAAAAAAGATATATAATATACAAGCCCCACTAAACACTGTTAAAGCATTATGAGATAAACTAAGAAACCAAAACCATATAATCTATAACTCACAGTGACCAAAGTCCGTCTGAGCGCCGCAAAACCGGTTTCCAAAATGCGGCAACACGAGAACGCTTCAAATTCAAATCGCATATAAATATACAACAGACACAACTAATTGTAAAAAAAAATATATATATACAAGCACCACTATATAAACACTGTTAAAGCACTATGAGATAAACAAGAAACCAAAACCATATAATCTATACAGTGGCCAAAGTCCGTCTGAGCGCCGCAAAACCGGTTTCCAAAATGCAACACGAGGACGCTTCAAATTCAAATTGCCTGATATACAACAGACACAAGTAATTGTAAAAAAAAGATATATACAAGCCCCACTAAACACTGTTATAGCACTATGAGATAAACTAAGAAACCAAAAGCATATAATCTATACAGTGCATGGCCAAAGTCCATCTGAGCGCCTCAGCGCCGCAAAACCAGTTTCCAAAATGCAACACGAGGACGCTTCAAATTCAAATTGCCTATAAATCTACAACAGACACAAATAATTGTAGAACATAATCATATCTGCAAGCCCTACTAAACTGGCACTCTTAAAGCACCATGAGATAAACTAAAAAACCAAAACTATAAATATATTAAAATGATATAAACTCACTAGTCTACGAGGGCCTTCCAACAACGCGGAAATTTATACCTATATAAACAAATACAAATAATTTTGTAAATATAGGACATTTCTACTATAAAACTCTTTCAAAGCAAGATAAACTAAAAAACCATATATTTAATACTCACGTTTGTAATTTTCGAATACTGTATCTTCGCCAGAGAAAGTTGCAACAAAGCCAGTCCGGAGAGAAATCGTGAAACAGTCATGCAGGAAGTGCAGTCGCCTTATTTTATATTAATCTCGCGCATTGCATTTTGGGTCCTGTGAAATTGCATTGTGGGCCTATCTGTCAATCAAAAATTGAGAATTTTGCCAGCTACATGAATTAGAAACTGCTGCCTCGCTCGCTCGCTGAAGGCTCGCTCGCTGCGGCAGCAATTAGAAACTGCTGCCTCGCTCGCTCGCTGAAGGCTCGCTCGCTGCGGCAGCAATAACACTTTAGGGAGGGATAGTAGGTATTAGTGAGTGTCATCGTGACAGAGAAAGAACGGATGTGAGACAGCTGCGACGAGCATACAGTGTGATTTGGTATTATTTTATATTTTCTATTAAAACTTATATATAAATGTGATTTGTCGAGGACTACTGTTTTGGAGGCAAACATTCTCGACACGTTGGATGAGTTGGCATTGTTACAGCCTACAGGGACATTTCAAGCTCTATACAGATTATAATTGTTTTTGTTTGCGGAAACACCACGTAAATTTATTACTGCAAAGCTTTCGATCCGTAAGCCCGGATCTTCATCAGTGCTATAAT